ATTTTTATTGATTTCAGAGAGGAAGGAAGAGGGAGAGAGAGATAGAAACATCAGTGACAAGAGAGAATCATTGATTGGCTGCCTCCTGCATGCCCCACACTGGAGATCGAGCCTGCAATCTGGGCATGTGCCCTGACCGGGAATCGAACCTTAACCTCCTGGTTCACAGGCCGGTGCTAAGCCACTGAGTCACAGTAGCCAGGCACAGGAATATGTTTTTAACAAGCACTCCAGGTGATTCTGGTGTAGGTGGTCCTTACCTTTTATTTTGGGAAACACTGCAGGTCTGACTTAGGAAGAGAAAGAAAATGAATGAGTGTGACATGGTAAAATTCAGCCAATTTCATAGGAGTTGTATCTGCTTTGGATCATTGTAATGCATTATTTCAAGCTTTGGAATAGCACATATATTATGCCTTGTTCTAGAGTTATTTGTGTATTTGCCTCAGTCCCTCCAAAGACTGTAAGCTCCCTGAAACACAGGGATTATGTGATATACTGACCTTTGTATATTCAGCATTGCTTACTCTGGGCCTTCTCATTATTGAGAAGGTGCTTTAGTAATACTTGTCAAATGAATAAAGATAATAGGGTAAAAATACAATTCGAAGAGGGTGATTGAAATAGTCATAAAGAGCTTAGTTTTGGCTCCTTTCCCCCACCGGCTGTGAGTCTCGTCATCTCTCAGGGACAGAGCCCAGCATTTGTAACATCGGAGATTGTTTGTTTCTCTTTCACAGGCTGCTATGGAGTAAAAATGTGGCAGTACATGTGAAAACACTTTAAACTTGTAGAACCACTTATTTCAATTGTTTTGAGTATGTCTAACCCAAATTTCTCCTGTGAATGAGTGCTAGGTTGTCTGAGGCAAAGAACACAAACTTTATTTCTGGCTGTTATGGAAAAGCAAATCCTATTATTTGGAATTTAAAAGAGCCACATCACTTCTCCAACTTCAAGAAGAGTAATCAATAAATTAAATACTAAAAACTTATAATATGAATGGAAGAAGTAATCCATAGATAATGAAGGGAGATACACAGAGGAACAAATTAACTATTCCCATTGCAGTTTGATTCTGAGATGGGGCCTTTCAGAAGTCTGCAAGTGTTTAATGAAATGATGTCTGAATTTTTTTTAAATTTTATTTTCTTGTTTAAAGTATTACAAATAGTAGTACATATGTCTCCCTTTTTCCCCATTGACCTTCCCCCGGCCTCCCCTACTCCCGGCACATGCCCTTACCGCCCCCCCCCCCCCCCTGCAGTGTCTTGTGTCCAGTGGTTATGCTTATATGCATGCATATAAGTCCTTCGATTGATCTCTTACCCCCACCCCCCAACACTCCCCAGCCTTCCCGCTGTAATTTGACAGCCTGTTCAATGCTTCTCTGCCTCTGTATCTATCTTTTTGTTCATCAGGTTATAATGTTCTTTATTATCCATAAATGAGTGAGACCATGTGGTATTTTTCTTTCACTGCCTGGCTTATTTTACTTAGCATAATGCTCTCAGTTCCATCCATGCTGCTGCAAATGGTAAGAATTCCTTTTTTTTTTTTTATAGCAGTATTCCATTGTGTAGATGTACCACAGTTTTCTATTCCACTCATCTGCTGATGGGCATTTATGCTGTTTCCAAATCTAAGCTATTGTAAATTGTGCTGCTATGAACATAGGGGTGCATATATCCTTTCTGATTGGTGTTTCTATTTTGGGCAAAGGACCCAAATAGACACTTTTCGAAAGAGGACATTCAGAAAGCCAAGAGACACATGAAAACATGCTCAAAGTCATTAATCATCCGAGAGATGCAAATTAAAACAACAATGAGGTACCACCTCACACCTGTCAGAATGGCTGTCATCAACAAATGACAAGTGCTGGAGACGATGCGGAGTAAAAGGAACCCTTCTTCACTGCTGGTGGGAATGCAGACTGGTGCAGCCACTGTGGAAAACAGTATGGCGTTTCCTCAAAAATTTAAAAATGGAACTGCCATTTGACCCAGTAATACCACTTCTAGGAATGATGTCTGAATTTTGCTGGCTCCCTCGAGATCACTTAAAAGGTAGCATGTATCTGATTAGATGAGCTGAGAAGTGCAGGTATATAACATTGCTTTAAAAACCTCAAGGTAGAAATTACGACCACCCCTCAAGCTATGAAGAACCAAAGAACTGAAAGACGTTCAATCACTTACAAGAGGCAATGTGTCCTGGGTGGTAAACGCAGGTGCAGGACTAGAGCCAGTCCGTAGCTCAATGAGGAAAATAAGGACAATGCACAGTGAGTTTTCTGTGAAGCTGTATGTGTTCAATGGAGCATACTGTGTTTCATCCTAAGATTAGGACTTTTCCTTGTTTTGCCTTACTAAAATGTCCTTGCTTTTATAAAGCGTCAATATGTTTTTAAGCTGGATATGAAAAGTTGACAATGATATTACGACTCACCATTCAAATTTATTTGCTCAACCTTGAGTTTGAATTCTGGATCTAGTCAAGGCAAGTGGCTTGAGGATTTCTAATCCACTCAGGCTTTGATTTCTCCATGTGTAAAGTCACAAAGATCAACAGTAACACAGGCATTGATATTTGCAAAGATCTTAGCACAGTTTGTCATATTGTAGGTAATCAATAATTGGTGGCGGCTAGATGAAGAATAAGGACAATATGGAAGTGTTGTCTTCTAAATAAGTAAATTAGATAGAGTGTCAATGGTATAAAATTGTGTTTTCGTACTGTGTGTAATGTTTTCCCATTTATGTCATGGTGGCCTCATTTGGGACCTATCCATGCCTTTGTTCCAAGCGTTAAGACCAAGATAATTCCCTTTCATGCACACAGCCAACCCAAGAGCCTTGTGTCAGTTGTTAGGAACATTCCAGAATCAGCGATAGGGTGGGGTTGTGCCTACTGGCTAAAGTTCTCATTGGATCTAGAATTTAAATATACACCCTTGGTTCCAGGACTAGTACTTTCCTGTTGTAGAATGTGTATCTTTGCTTAAATCGAAGTCAGTGCTTATTGATGATTTGAATGAATAAATGTAAAAATGAATCTCGGAATACAATAGCTCCATAGAATTAAGGTTTTCCCAATTATCTGCTGCTGTTTGTTTCAGGGACCTATCGGAAATAGATTGCATTCTTACAGGTGACCTTTAACTTACTAACTTGCTAAGAAAGACAGCAAACAGGAAAAAAGTGGGAGTTCCTCATAACTAAAACACATTTTTGTGAAGTCCATGATGGATATTCCAGGTGTTCTGGCAGGCATCGTCCTAGTAAAGATTTAAGCCAAATTTCAGCTCATTGTCTAATAATATCCAGACTTGTTTCCCTAAGAATTCTGTAATTACATTTTATCAGACTCCTTTGAATGCAATGAAAATTTTTAACTGAATATGGCCTAGGATCGATGGCAGAAGGATTAGGAAATGGAATGGAACTTTCACTGAGTGCCTGACATGTGCCAGATATTTTGTACATTCATTTAAGCTTTGTAACCATTTTGCAGTTGAGGGGGCTAGAGGTCAGGGGGCTTAAATACCTTTCCGTGGCCTTTCAGGGAGCAAGTGGCAGAGCTGGGATTCGGATCCAGGTTCATGTGCCCACGACTCATTCTGACTCTGTAACTTATCATTTGTCCTTTCCAGTAAATGTGAAAGACACGTGAAACAGACTTTAGCAAGTGATAGGAAGGATTATAAAGAACTGAGTGTGTTATGATGAAGGGCCATACTGCTTGCCTATTAGTATGTGATTTGGGACCTTAATTTACCCAACTGTAAGGCCACAGAGTTGGACTAGATGACCTCTGAACGGGGTGACCACATGGCGCCATTTGCCAGGGCAGCCCTGGCTTATATCTGTGGTGCCAAGGCAATGATTATTAGCATCCTTTCCACTTTAAAGTGTTCCACTGTGGGTCATAAATTCCAAGCCTGTCCTTATATAAGGCTCTTTCCAAGTCTCAATTTCTATGATTTCCAATTGAATCTATTAATTCCTTTGAGAACTGAAGTAACATGAATTTTCGTTTCCCAGCCTGTGAAGTGTAAGGGGCTGACAGCACCTGAGGTGACTTTCATCTAGAGGTTGTTGGCATTTCTGATAGGGATGATTTTTCTGCTCTTACTGCTTTCCTTTAAAAGTACACTAGTAAATCCCCTTCTAGTCAATTTGGTTCTAGTTAGTTTGAGATCATTATATAAATATTTGTTTTCAGTTCATACTAATAGTGGCTACCATTTATTGAGCACTTAGAGAAGTCAGGGTGAGTGCGTTATCATTTAGTGCACTTATTAATGCTGTAAGATAGCTCACTTTCTACATAAGGAAACTGAGGCTTAGAGAAGTTAAGTAGGAGATGGAGCCAGGTCTTCCTAATCTCTTAACTATTATAGTATACTGAGATACGTACACAGGCACACCTACATACACAGCTGTTAATTTAAAATCACACAAAAAAAGGCAAGACTGGCTATTCCCTAAGGTTCTTTCAGGAGCTGTATTTGCATAGCTGCATTTGGATAGTTTCAAAACAAATTCCCTCTGATTTCCAGTAGCAATCTCTTTCTCTCAACCCCATAAGCATCAGATTTAGAATTTTAGAGTTTTGCCCATCCACCCAAATCTGGTCCTGTCTTCTGAGGGAAGGCCTCCTAAATTCCCATTGGCCTTTCCTATATTTATCAGTGTCAGTGCTAATCTTTGTAATTTCATCTTCCATTGCTTCTACCATCCATCTTTACCACAGAGTAGAAGCATCTGCCTCAAATAAAGACAAAAGATTTTGATGAAGAGACAGGTTCTCAGGAAAAACAAGGTATTAGAAAGTGGATGCGATGAATATTTACTTACTTATAGAGAACTTTTCTTCTTCTTCTTTTTCTTTTTTTTTTTTGAGAATGTCTTTCTTTACCAGAGTATAAAACAGAAAACAGACACTTGCTTTTTTGTTTACATTTACATAGACAATACTTAAATAAAAACCACCAGTTGACACTCATATCATTCTGCTTTTATTTATTTGGTGGTTAACTTACAAAGACACAGATGTCTTGGATAGACTCTGTCCCATTTAAACTATCCCCATGACTTAGATACCAAAATGTGTTTGTTTACATAGTGCAGTGGTATGAAAAATGTTTTTTTTCTTTCTTTACAGTCCCTGACTATAAACAGGGGAAAATTAATTTCATACCAAAAATTTGGGGCACTTTAACAATTATCCCATCCCATATCTTACTAAGATAACACAATTGGTATTACAAGTTAAAATATAAAGGCCTAACCGTTTGTTACAAATATGCAAATAACCCGCTACTTAGACATAAAAAGTTGATTTCTTTCCAATCACAAAGTAAGGCACCATTGGATTAAACACTTTCTAGGCTTTTACTAAATAAAATGCATAGTGAAATAAATACCGAACACTGAATTTTAATACTGTAATACATTTCAATATAAAATGATGTGTGAATGTTAAAATACTATATTGCATCTTGAATACATTACCTGGAAATTTTATGGAAAAACACATGTAAGCTCTGATTTCAGGGAAGAAAATTATTCATTTTTGTGATTTACCATAGTTGAAAGTTTTAGCATAGAACTTATTCAGAGTTTTGGATGCAATTAGGTTGCTAACTTTCAAAGCAAGAATGTAAGTGTATTCATGAAACATTCACTTAAAAAACATTCTAAAACATCTCCCTCCTGGGTGAATAGTAACTTTGAGTTGTGACCCTGTTTCAGACTTTAGGATGGTACCTGCAAAGTTGAGATATACAAGGAAATTGGCTATTCGTACTTCCCTGTACAAAATCCAGACCCCCTTTCTTTGGGTCACACTTTCCTCTGCCATATTTGCTAGCAAGGCCTCTTTTCTGAAGTGGGTCATTAGGCTTTCTCATAGGAGTTTTAATCAACTATAGATTCAAGAATGATACCTGATCAAAGAATCCCAAATAAAACGATGCTGCTATATTACCAAAATATGAGCAATACCATTTTTGGGGGGAGGAAATACTTTGCCAAGCTTGTTATACCTTTTTATTTCTTGATTCTTTGGGTAAAGGACCCCAAGTGCCTGAAAGACAAATTAAAAGTAGAGGAGGGAGGGACCCAAGTTCTCTAATGTACTAAGCCCAGGACTTTGGCAAGAAAAGTTATAAAAATACAGTATATTCAAATGGGCAACATCATAATTATTTAGACATCCCATTTAATAGAACTCTAAGTTCTTTTGCTTTTATATAAATGAAACAGTTATTTCTTCTATAAATAGGAATGCTTCTTTCAAAATTTTCTTTGGATTGATTTCTTGTTAGCATCTCTCAGTCACAGATGAACAATACACTGAAACCATGATACAAACTTTAGGTAGATATACATATACATTTGTGACCATGTGCTTTTGAAAAACAGGTAATGGTAATTTCAAACATAATCAACTGTTATAAAATAACTAAATGGACATTTTTCCCCCAACTCTGTAGCTAGATTAAAAATCCCAGTAAAGTCTGTAAACAAAATCATACAAAAAAAGGCAAGGCTGGCTCTTCCCTAAGGTCCCTTCGGGAGCTGTATTTGCATAGCTGCATTTGGATAGTTTCAAAGCAAATTCCCTCTGATTTCCAGTAGCAATCTCTTTCTCTCAACCCCATAAGCATCAGATTTAGATTTTTAGAGTTTGCTCATCAAGCCAAATCTGATCCCTTCTTCTGAGTTTCTGATTTGCTACCTTTCCCTGACTACCCCCTCCCCACTCCCACTACTGAGCCTACAAACCTCCCCGCCTGAGGAGCAAGCTGGGCGGCCTCTTCCAATGGGCAAGGCAGAAGTCCAGCTGACAGATACTCTCCAGCCAGCTGGTTCTGAGCCCAGAAGCCCCAACAGGCTTTCAGTTTCCTTGCAATGGCTTTATTCCACGTAACTGTAAACCCTATTAGAGTAATTTCTGACCTTGGGACTGTGAAGCAACACTTGTACACAGATACTAAGGGAAGAAGGGAAAATAAGGGAGCACAATCTAAGGTCAAGCTGTCTGCCAGGCAAGGTGTTGGGTCCTAACTTTATTTTTAGTGACCTCTTGAATTGCTAAACGTTATTGTGCATTTTTTTTTTTTTTTAAACAGGAGGTATTTGTGCTAGCCTCTGTCTTCTAGACCTGCATTGTCCAATATGGCAGCCACTGCCATATGTAGTCACTGAGTCCTTGAACTGTGACTAGTCCAGGTAGGGATGCGCTTTAAGTGTAAAACACAAAACCAGATTTTGAAGCATTAGTACAAAAAAAAAATAATGTAAAATATCTCATTAATAATTGTTATTTTAATTGCAGGTAAAAATGATATTTTTGGATAAAAATATATTAAAATTAATTTCACCTTTTTATTTTCCTTTTTTTATTGTGGCTACTAGAAATATTTAAATTGTATATGTGGCTCACACTGTATTTCTATTGGACAGTCTGTCCTAGAGCCTGCCTCAGGCTGCCAAAGATTATAATCTATAACCACAAAAATGTCATGTGCACCCTTGCTCAGCAACTTGTGTAGGTGGTCTGTGGTTCATGGAAACAGACAGGAGGCCAAGCACGCAAAAATGGCATGGAAGCAAGCAGCTCTCAGGGACTTTAACATTATCTGTAGCAAACATGCAGTGAATGTTTGAATCTGGTTGGTTGAAAGCTGGGACACAGTTCATCTCTGCCTACTTGCCATAAAAGCTAGTTGAACCCAAGCAGTCAGCACTGGTGGGCTGTAGCTAAAGCAAGCAATAGCTTTGAGGATATACACAATATAAAAATCTAGGTGCATTCATTGCATTCCCACCCCCCACACACATATTCCCACATCACCCTCCCTTCTTCCCTACTCCCAGTATGAAAGGGACAAGGAAGACAAGGGGAGGAGGGTGTGCAACTCTTGATAGCAACAACAGAAGTAGCTCTTGGGCTCGGGTGGAGAAGAGCAGGCTAGGATCACCTTGGGATGGGGGGAAGGGGTGGGGCACCCCTTTCTCTTCGGTTGGATCCACCTTGATGAAAAAATAGACAAAATATAAATTTTGGTTAGAAAGCTTATGTTCTCACTGTAGAAATTCAAGGATGTGTGCAAAGGTATTCACAACCATACACCCTAACCAGGGATGGAAATAACTGGCACAGGTGGATGAGAAGTGAGAGGGGATGGGAAGAAGCAAGTAAGGATCTGAATAAACATTACTAAGGATGACCCACCACTGGCTACCGAGTACTTGCATAAAGTTAAGAAAATTTAAAAAATTGCTTCTTATCCCAAATGTAGTATGCATTTATTACAGGTTTAGAAAAAATAGATCAGTAAAAACAAAGCAAAAGATTCACCCATGTTTGCACCACCCAGAGATAACATTATTTATATATTTTCTATATATGAACAGTTCCTTTTTGTCTTTTAAAAATTAGGTCATCTATAGTCATTTTGAACATCTTTCAAAGTCATTACTCTTTACACATGTAATTATTGACACACTGCATTCTATGCATATTTGTAAGCTATCCAGGTTTAAGCCATTTACAATATTTGAAGTTCATTTGTCCCACACACATTTGTCTGAGGATCTTACTGTTGTTAGGCATAGGGCCAGATGCTCAGATGCTTAAGCATGTCTACCAGGGGCACATGGCAATTGAATGTGCCTGCTGAGGCCACTGCTCTGAGACTCAGGTGAGCTGGCACCAGCAGATTCCTCAGCAGGCATCTCAACAATGATCCTAGTAGCCCTGTTAGGGATTTCGGCGATAGAACCAAGTCTCTGAGCAAGGACAGGAGTCAGAGGAAAGCAGTGGCATCCCATTGTCTTGCTTGTTCCTCTTACTATCCCAACCAAGTCTTTTCTTGGGCAGGCATCTGAGGAAAGACATCTGGTTTCACACCAGCCATCTGTCATGGGGCCTTGACTGTCAACTGCTATATACCACAGGGTTAGCAAAACAAGGGCTGGCCTTGTGCAGAGCTTGGACTAGGTGGCACTGCTCAGGGCCGTCTGGGTGCCCTCCCAGACTGTGGGCCTGGAGGCCAAGGTAGCAGGAGCAGAATAAAACCATTTGATAGTACTTTATGTGTTTTTTAGAGAGATGATTCTTTATCAGTATAAAAATATTAAAATGCACAATGCTAGAAATTTAAAGTATATCTACAAAAAGAGGTTTGGGGGAGCAGTGGAAATTAATCCACCAATTTAAGAAATATTTTTAAGTGTCTACCATGTTTCAGGCTCTGTGTCACTCCAGGAAGATACAACAGTGAGCAGGACATAGTTCCCGTCTTCAAATTTCATAAAGTCTTAAAGACAGGAGGATGGGGAAGGGAATGTGATCAGCTATTAAATAAAAAATCTAGAGGGGCTGGGGAAGATGGTTCTGTAACTGACAATATATGTAATCTGTAATACTTTCAACATAAAGGTAAGTTAAAACACACACACACACACACACACACGTAGGCAAAGTAAGTGCATTGTGCCACTGAGACATTCTTTTGATTTACTAAATTGCTTTAGTAATTATAGTAACCATAACCTACATGTCTTTTACCATAGTAACCTGCTTTTGCCCACCTGTGTGTGTGTGTGTGTGTATTAACATATTTAGAGTCTATGTGAACAACTCCTTAAAATGAATTCATTTATTAGTGCCCAAGAGGGAAGAAAAGCAGGCTGTATTCTTACCAGATAGAAGCCCCTCTTACAACATAAGCACACACTGCACACACACACTACAAACATGCATATATAAACACGCAGAGCTCAAAGAAATTTGTCCCATGTGAAGAATCATTTTTCACCCCAAATTTCAACCACCAACTCTTGCATGATAATTTTTATTGTACCTATACCTCTTTTATTAGGCATTGTCTAGGAATGCACTATTCCACATAAATGATTCTCCCCAGGAATTAAACTTCTCCTTTTAAGCAGCAATATTCTGTTTACTTCTATTTGTTCATGAAAATTTTCCTAAAATATTTCCTAATTCTTTGAATTCTTTAGCACAGGCGCAAAGCACAATTTGACCTATCTTTGATAACCCAACAGAGACATCTAGTGTTGTCCTGTGCTCTAATATATAGCACAATTCTGTGTCCCTGTCTCCTCCTTTGCCACCTATCACTTCTCCCTGAAGTCAGTGATTTTGCTTCTAACCAACATTAACTTCAGTTGATACTAATCTGCTCTAAGGCTGGGAATCAACTAAATATTAAGAACTCTGTGCTAAGAGTCAGCAGGCTCTGAGTATGTGTAAGGAGCTCAGCCAGGGAGTGAGGGCAAGGGGTGTGTGTGTGTGTGTGTGTGTGTGTGTGAGTGAGAGAGAGAGAGAGAGAGAGAGAGAGAGAGAGAGAGAGAGAGAGAGAGAACATTTTAGGGACATGGTGACGGTTATCTGACATGTTCAGATGCTTTTTCTCCACACATTTCTGCTTTGGGAGTTTGGTTCTGAAGCTAAGCCTGTCACAGGTCTGAGTTTCATCAGTGATATATATATTTTACGCTAATTCTTTTTCAGTTCTATACAGTTGTTGTAAAATTTTAGTTTTTTGTTTCCTCTTCTTGTTCACATTTCCCCCCAATAGTGGAAAAGTGAGTCACTTCTTATGGTAGTATTACATATATTAGCAAAAAAACACAAACAAAACAGAAGCAACCTAAGTATCCAATAATGGTAAACTAAATTATTATTTGCGGACTTGATGGAAACTTGTATCATAAAAACCATGTGATAAAATAGGGAAGTGTCTACTAAACAATGTTATATAAACCCCACTACCAAAAACTTCACTCTCTAACTACAACCATATAAATTAATCAGAATTATTAGATGGATAAAAATTAGATGAGAACCTGGTAAATGAAAATATGTGTAGAGATTATGGGTACACTTAAATTTTTCATGTAATCTATAAAGCTATAATATATTTAAAAAGATCAAGGCCATTTCAGTAAGTTTTTGTTATAATTAAGACATTTTGCTTGTATCAAAACTAATAGGAATAGAAAGAAGATGGTTCTATTTGTGCCATCTTAGGAAGATCAAAATGGGGGCAATTGTCTAAACAAGCAAAATAATACAATTTGATCTACTAGCAACCCAACAGTGTTTTGGGCTTGTGATGACACATTAAAATAGTTGTTTCTCATATGCATTCTGGATTATCTCCATTTTCCCATCATGTGCAGAAGGGGAGTTTACCAGAATTTAGATGGCATCAAACCCGGAAGTGACTTCTCTGAAGTCTCCCACTCCAGGCAATAGGCCTGGATTTTCTATGCACCCCGCAATTGTATATAAACCAGAGTTTTATCAATTAGAGTAGGAAGTCACCAAAAGCCCTTGCAGAAATACTCACTCCGGCTTTCACTTCTTGCCAATTTACTGGGATAACTTTTGGTTGTTGGCACATATGGCTCTGGAGGTGGCAAGTCAGAAATCGGATGGAAGTTGAATCTGCTTTCCCACTCATCTGAGGGAGAGAAACAAACAGTGCCTTCAGAACAGGCAATCTGCCCTGAAAACATGTCATGTAAAGCACAGGATGAAATAGAACTGAAGAGATTGATTCTAGTCTTACGTCCAGAAGTTTAGAGAAAAGCTGGAAGTACTAGAAATGTCACTGACATCGCACATGAATAAAATATATGGGTCTGCCAATCAAACCAAAGCGAGATCCAAGGGATTTTAAGTAGAGCAATGCTCAGGAGCTGGGGGCCAAGGCTTGGGACACCTCTCTTAACTATTCCTCCCACCAGTGGGAGGAATGCCTGGGACCCTCTGATAACAGAGGACGAGGGAAGCTGCTTAATACCTCAGGTCATTGGGCCTCTTCCCTACAGCAAACTGTTTAGAAAGGGAGGTAATAAGAAGCTAATTTACAAATGATTCTTTTCAGAATTCTGATATCGCTGGAAAGTTAACAAATATGACTCAAACAAGGAAGAGCAAAAATGACCTGACTTTTCGGAAAGTGGAGGTGGATCACTATTTTTGGTTTGAAATCATGGTGGGCCCTAAAATGGTTAGAATAATGATTTTCAATTGCTGTGCCACAAGAATTTTTAAAACATGCAATACCTGACTATTTAGTCAGGGGCACTGACCTCTTTTCCCTTAGATTGTCAAATTAAAAAATGACAACAGCCAACACAATAATAGCCATCGAGTTTAATAGGTTTAAATAGCCATAGGTTTAATCACAATTAAACCTATTTTTCTTGTCAGATTGGCAAAAAATACGTTTTTTGCTGTGCCCCAGAATTTTAGTAATTAGTTTATGTGTGTCATGGGATGAAAAAGGTTGAAAATCGCTGGGTTAGATAGAGCAGTGCAGCGTGATGACAATGAGGGTCATGCAAACAAGAAATGTTAATGCAAACACACACCCAAATACAAATCTCCCATTCAGCCGCTGCTCTACAGCTTGTAGGATTCCAAGAAGCTGGGACCACACCTCACCTTCACATGAAGAGTCTTGGAAGCCGTTTCTAATTGATGTTGATGGTGGAGGTGGGGGAGGCACCCCAGCACCAGGCCTGTCTGGAGGAGGGGGGGGCCGAGGCCCACTCCTGGGACTGTCTACTCCTCTGGACGGCAACTGCGGGGTGGCCGGCAGGGCCCGAGATGTGCTGCCATTTCTGTTTATTGGAGGAGGAGGTGGGAGAGGGCCTGGAGTAAAAGAAAAACCAACATTTAGGGCCATACCTTACATTCTCCATCACCAAGGTGCAGTTATTGTGTGCCTGATGGATACAGGCCCTTTACTAGAGAACATGGAGAAATGGTGGACACTTCTTAGGAGATTTAGCCAAGCAAGGAGTAGGCACATATAAACTCAGAAATGCACATATGTATACACAGATGTGGAATGAGTGCATATTGACAGCTAAGTGGCTGTTTTGGCTGTGAGTATTGAGATTGGAGATGATACAGTTGACAACAGGTGATAATCTGTTTATACAGGCAATCGTATACATACTTAAAACACATTTTAATATTTTAAGTAGCCCTTGAACTAATTACTGCAATATACTTATTAAATAAATGCTGTATTAAAAGAGGATTTTAAATGAAGAATAAGATAGCTATGAAGTTATTTTAGATCTTCAGATGGGTTAAGTTCTTTAAATGCACAGTATTATTGTTAATTCCACGGGCACACAATCTCTTCCAGACAGAAGTGGGTCAGGAAACCCAATGTTAGTCATCCTGAGAATAGAAGTTCCTTCTTGGTTCTTCCTCTTTCACGGGGCGATTAATGCAGGGAGTGACAAACAGCTCATCAGTGTGCATGGCTAGAAATGCTGGTGCAGGACCCTGACCCTGAGCAGGCTGCTTGCCTACGGAGCTTGATTTCCTATTTACAAAGAGCACCAAATAGTTACCTTTCCCACAGCACTGTTGCCAGGAATACTTAGTCAAAAAACAAATAAAAAGCACTACATAAGTATTTGAAACCACTTTTTAAAAATGCAGTGGTATGGTAGAAATAGAAAACTTTAAGTTCCTAGGAAAATAACACAGTAAATTCTTTTTGATAATAAAAAGGAACCTATCTTGCCTCTTCCATCCTCCAAGTGCAGAGGCTGTTTGGGTCGTGAGTAAAATAAACAAAAAGAAGAACTTAAGTATTTCCTGTAAACCAAAATGACCTTAGTGACTCCTGATCTTCAGCAGTGTGCTCCACTTGTCCGATGCTGACGTTTTATGTAACACACATCTTAGTGCTATAAATGTAAGTATCTCTTATTAACTGCATATTCAGAATCCAATCAGAGGACCTACAAAGGAACGACTCGTCCATCGCAGACATCCCTGCCTGAAGTCTTGGCTCAGACACTTGATGAAGGCAGGAGGCATGCCCTGCCCTGGTCGGTCTCTCACCCTGGGCAAGCATAATAGGAAACATTTCTATTTCCCATTGGCAGCATAATAACAAAAGTGGTCATTTATGTTGGGAAATAACCACGATATACACTTAATCTCGTTTGATTTTTATAACAGCCCTGAAAGGCAGAGACAGCAGATGAGGTGTTGAAAGTTAAAAAGACCAAGTCAGGAGGCTAATGAGAAGAACCAGGATTTGACTACAAATCTGTCAAATTTGAAAGCCTATTCTCCTAACAATGAAGCTAAGCCACCTCTCAAAATCCAGGTGGCCCTCGATGATCTCCCATATGTTCCTTGTGGGGATGTAAATTGGTAGGAATTTTCTAGAGGCCAATTTGGCAGTACCTATGAAATCCATAGTTTACTGTGCACACCCATTGACCTAGACATTCCATTTCTAGAAATTCATTCCAAGGAAATACATAGAGATGTGCACAAATATTTGGTTACAAGAATATATTCCTGCATTATCTGCAACAGCAAAAATCTGGAGATGGCCTATATGACCAAGTGAGGGATTAAATAATCAAGGTATTTTGTAGGATTTAATATTATGCAGTCATTAAAAGTCAGATTGTATCATATTAGGAAATGTTAATGAAATATTGTTAAATAAAAAGCAAATTAATACCAAACAATATACGTAGTATGATACTAATTTTATAAACATATATATATATATATATATTTTAAAAGACTGAAATAATTTTTAAAAACTGTTATGGTTATTTTTAGATGGTGGTGGTGGTAGGATTATAGATGATTTTAATTTTCTATAATAAACAGATCTGACTTATGTAATTGAAAGGAACAATAAATGTTATATGTGACTACCCTATTTTGGGGGAGATTTAATCTGTTGATTCATCTATTTGGTAGAGTCATGCAATCAGCTTCTCAACCACTTTGGGGGGAAATCCATAGCTTTTGGATAAAAAGAAGACACTGTGTTTCATTCATCTGACTACCTGTTCTTGTTAATTCACTGCAGACTACTTAATGAGATGCCACAATGTCTAGGGACTGGATTGAACGGATTAGTAAATTTGTATGTTTGGAGTGGACTCTCCGTGGCAGGGCGGTTTGAAGGAGTGGTTTTCGAACTTTCCTGCACATTAGTCACTGGGACATTGCAATCCCAGTATCCTGATGCCCCGTCTGCAACCCAGACCACCAAAACCAGAAGCCCCGGGGAAGGGGCCCAGGCATCGTGCTTTTTAAAGCTCCCCAGGTGATTGCAGTATATGGTCAAGTTTGGGGCCACTGGTTTAAAAAATGGTGTTTATTAGGTTCCCGAGGTCACAGGGTCAAAGGTCCGTTAACTTTGCAGAGAGGGAAAAAAAATGCCCCATTTCCAAACATCTTGCCTGTATAAGGTTAAATTTTAAAAGTAGATAGTTCCCCTGATTCCATCAATAACTGATGCAAAACAAAAAAGCACCGATTATAATTAGCAGAGGGAGTATGATGCTGGTAATCCTCACACTTCATTTCATACTCTGAAAGCTACTCCCTCAGATTCAGGTTCTCAGCCCTAGGCAGGGGCCACAGATGTGCTTCAGCAGGTCTTCCAGCCCATGAACTACCGTGCGTAGCTCGAGTTTATGCTCATGAGCATTTCTGTCAAGTGCAGGCCTATGCCTTTATCTGATTCTCCAAGGGCTCTGTGTGCCGGAGATGTGAGCCAACAGCCAAACGGGCTCTAACATTTGTCTTTACTATGCAGGGAAGCGGCCGGAAAGCTTGACAGATAAAGAGAGAAGTGCAGAAGTTCGTTCCCTCTTAAATAATTGCCCTTCTTGTTGGAATAACGGGCCCTGCTGCAGGAGACGGGAATTTATCTCCCAAATTAGGACATCTGAAACCACTTCAGGGAGGCCGGGTTGCAGAGTGGTGAGATGAAAGAGTTCTAGCATTGCCCAGACAGGTGTAGCTCAGCGGTTGAGCATCGACCCAGGAACCGAGGTCACCAGTTGGATTCCCAGTCAAGGGCACATGCCCAGGTTGCAAGCTGGGTCCCCAGTGGGGGGGCGTGCAGGAGGCAGCCGATCAGTGATTCTCTCTCATCATTGATGTTTCTATCGCTCTCTCCCTCTCCTTCCTCTCTGAAATCAATAAAAATATATTAAAAAAAGAAAAGAGTTCTAGCCTCTTCGGTATTAACTAGTTTGTGATCCTCTCACTTTCTTGCCTCCTCAGTCTCCTCATCTCTAAAACACGGACAGAAACAGCTATCAGCCCCGCTCCCCTCGGGTTTGCACGCGGCCAAGGTGCAATCACAGAGGTAAGATGACAGCAGCCCAAGGGTTCCGCGGGCTTTCAGCCGGACTCCGTTCAGCCCCTATCAGGAGTGACGTGTGCAGGCTGGGTTTCGGGGAGACCACCCACCCCACGCCTCGCCATACCTGATCGGCCCGGCGGGTCCCTCACGGGGGGCGGGGGCCGCTCACTGGGCGGGGGAGGCAGAGGCCCCGAGCGCCCAGGCGAAGGCAGGGGAGGTGCGGACGAGCTGAGGGACAGGTTCCGCTGCGGGAGCCTCGGGATCTCGTCGCCGCCGCCGGACGCCGGAGGCGGGTGGGCCGGGCCGGGCCTGCAGGGCGGCGGCGGGGGCGCCTGCGCCAGGGCGGACGGCCGCGGCGTGGACGGCACCGGGGGCTTGCTGTTCTGCGGGGGCGGCGGCGGGCCCGCTTCCCGGTGGAGGGAGGGCCGGTTGCCCATCGGCGGCGGCGGCGGAGGGGGCTTGTCCTCCAAGGCCCGGCTCGGGGTCGGGGGCAAGGGCGGCCGATTGGAGAAGGCCGAGGGGGTCTGGCGGACGGAGCCTCCTCCAAAAGCAGCGCCTCGGTTTCCAGGGAAAGGCGGCGGCGTGGGCCCGGGGCCGGGCTGCCGGGGCGCCCCGCGGTTGTGCAGACTGGACTGGATGGGTCTGGGCGTGTTGGGCACCGGAGGGGCCGCGCTCTCGGGCTTGGAGCCCACGTCGGGCCGCGGCGGAGGCATGCGGTTCCTCTGGGGCTCCGGGGGCCCGCTCCTGTGGCCCGGAGCCGGCACCGGGAACCGCCCCGGGCCGCTGGGCGGTGAGAACGGCTTGGCAGACGTGGCTCTTGCTCCTGGTGGCAAAATCGGGGGTCGGCTTCCTCCGGAATCTGAAGAAGGAGGGGGGCAAATTCAGTTAGAAGATGAGGAGCCTTAAAAGAAACCAGGAACTAGAGTAGATTCCCAGCAGCTGGACATCCTTTCCCAGATGCTACAAGATACAGGTAACTGCTATTTAAGTCAGGTTTGGTGCGGCCCTTCCTGGAGGAAGAGGAACCGAGCACAGCTCTCCCATTACCTTCGGCCTGAGGCTCTGCAGCCGCCGCTCCCCGCAGGCCTTTGGGGAGACCTCCTGCCTTACGTGTGGGCAGGAACCAGGAGGCAGCTGCGAAGGCCTCTGGAGACACCCTCTTCCTCACAGAGGACGAGAACAGGACAGTGTGGCGCATGGGACTTCTGCGCATGGTTTTCTTTTCTCCCCGTCACCATCCCTGCCTCCTTGCCCTGGTACTTCGTAGGCTTAAAAAAATAACTTAGCCATTTAAGGTGAAGAAATTAGTTATCTCAGTATAAATCTTCATAGGAGAAGGGTTACCTAGTCTCTTTGAAGAGAAACTCCCAAGAGAAGGTAGAAAAATAGAATGGGAAAGTTATGATAGAAATAAGAAGGAACTAAGAAAAAAAAAACTGTCAAAGTTGAATTGAAAAAGTTAATACCGGTGAATGGTCTTAATCTGCAAAGAAGTAAACCAACTATACAACTTTTTTCCTACTGGGTCAATTCCACTTCAATATTGGCAGGACAGGAAAACCCTATTACACAATTAATATTAAACTAGTTCAACAAAGAGAAGAACTAAAGGGGGAACCAAGGTTATAGAAAAATTCAAACCACCACCCCAGAATAAAAAATTGGTTAGCCTGAAAACTACCAGTACAGCCAAGTGATGCACTAAATATTTACTGAGCACCTGCTGTATGTCAGCCACTATTCTAGATGCTAGAGACAGAGGAGTAAGCAAAATAGAAAAGATCCTCTCTTTTATAGTTTACATTCTTTTTGGGGGGAGATAGACAACAGACCAGCAAACACAGAAAATTACACGTACTAAAAAGAAACTAAAACAGGCCGATGAGATGGAGTGCCTGAGGATGCTGGGATGGCTGGGTAGCTCTTCTCAGGATGTGACATTTGAGCTGAGTCCAGCCATGGAAAGCTGCAGCTAGCACAGTAGGCAGTGGACTAGCAGGTACAAAGACCCCGAGAGGGGAATGAACTTCAAATGAAAAACTGAAAACCAAGGCCCGTGTGCCTGGCACACAGTGAGCATGTAGGAAAGAGAACCCTAGGAAATGGAGTCTGAGTGCCATCAGGAGCCTGGTCGGAAAGAGCCTCGTAGGCCAAAAAGAGTTCAGATTTTGTCCAAGCACAATGACAGGCATTGGGAGGGATTTATACAGCGGAGTAATGTGAACTCTAGAATTTTGTTTCAACTTTAGTACTAAAAGAAGATGTAGTGTCCTTGACTGTGTGGTATATTTTTATGTCGCCAACTTGTAATAAGTTATATCTTCCAAGTTCAGATTAAAGCTGCAGCTCCTACATTACATGGATAGGATCCATTACGTGGATAGTATACTATGAACATATATACTTCTGGTATACCCTTTTATGGACCAACTTAAATTCCACCTTCATTTTATTATTTTACTTCCAGTTGTCTCTTGCCTTAATTTCTTCACCTTTTAAAAAAAGTACTAAATGTATGCATTTATCAGCTACCTAAAATCCTTCTGGTCGGTTTTAAATTTCAGTTTCAATGCAGGTCTGGCAAGATAGACTCTCTCATATTATTGAGTCTCTTTCTAGAGTTTGCCATCCAGTGCTAAAATAGTCACTGAGGATTCAGTGACTTTATCTTCAGACCAATGTGGGAATTTCATACTTTCCCCAGTGGACGTTTTAAAAGGTCACAAAATTAGAGATAAAATTCTTCTAACAGTAAACATGAAAAAAGAAAGTTTATGATATAATTTCTTGAGCTCCTGCTATGGTCAGGAGAGCGCCTCGTGCTCTGTGAGGTTTTCACTTGGGCTCAGCCAGGTTCAGCTCCCCCTCTGCCAGCGGGTCCACACACAACCCTGAAGGACTCATTTCCCTGGCTCCCTGCAGGGAAGACTTAGAATCACTGGCCCTGAAACGCCGAATGTCTGTCAGCAAAACACCTTTTCAGACTTAGTGAGATATGTAATTATGTTCCGTATGACATGCTCCATAGCGTGTGAGAAATGTGGCTCTCAAGTATTTACTATACTAGACAGCTGGGTCAGGCTGCCTCACAAAGAAAGCGGAATTTGCCAGGTCACTGGGCAGTTTCCAGGGTGGCAAGTTCCATTTGTTCCTTTCTTTTCTTCCCACTCTAGCTCACCCTTTAGAAAAAAGTACAAGTTACCCCAAGGACACGTCTGATACCGATTTAATTTAAAAAAGATGCTCCACAGAGTCTCTTGTAAGTTAACATTTCAAGCAATCCAGAATGTTTTAAAGGGCGCGGTGCCTTAGCGGGGATGCCAAGCCTCCTAACCACCAAACCCTGGTCTTCAGTGACCGAGAGAGAAGGAAACGCTTTACCATTGTCCCTGTTGGCTGTGGATCTCAGCTTGGGCATTCCAGCCTGGAACAGTCCCCCCAAACCGGGTGGTCCACCCCCTCCAAAGCTTCCGCCACCGCTGCCACTGCCGCCACCTCCGCCGCCACCTCCTCCGCCAAATCCGCCGCCTCCACCAAAGCCACCGCCGCCACCAGCTCCGGCTCCTTTAGGTTCTGCAGAGGAAGAAAACACAATCTCTACACAGATCTGGAAGCACTACCAGTCTCCTTCACCAGTCCTGGACCAAGTACACAGTAACAACAAAACCTGGGCCTATGGTAGACAACTGGAATCTGATTAAAAAGCAGGATTGTAAGGATTTACCCCACCCTCATCAGAAAAGGAGGGGTTCCTTCCACTCCTGGGCAGTCACAGGCCCGGTGAAAGAATGGACATAGGTGGTGACTGGCCCCAGGCCTCCCATTTGGCTAGCTGCCATATGAATTAATATCTATTCGGCAAATAAAAGGATCTTCAAATAAATAAAGTCTCAAGGGAGGGGGAGATGCAATAAAAAGGTGAGAAAAAAGGAAATTGTAAAAATAAAAAGAATAAAAATATTTCATAATTTTACTACTTGGAAATACCTAGTGTCTTGGCATATTTCCCCCCACCCCTTCCCCCCGCCAGTATCTTTTCATTTTTATTATTTTTTTCTTAAAATTAAGACCAACATTCACTGGACAGTTTTTAGCCTGCTTTTTTTGCTTAACACTTTATTGTTAGCATTTCCCGTGTCATTAAATATTCTTTAAAAAGATAAATTTAAAGGAATGCATTGTGTTTTAAAACATGATTGATTGTATTGTAGTTTATTTAACTATCTACTTATTTGATGGTCTTTTAGGTTGATTTTAATTTTTTAGTATCATTAAGCCCAAAGATAGGCTTTCACATTTAAAAATTCTTTGCAATTTGAGACAGTGCAAATATTTTATTTTGTATTTATTTTCAAAAAATAGTGAAAGCTTTTGAAATGGACAAACAAATGAAGAAAAAGATTACTAAGTCTAGCCTTCTGTGTTATTTCCCATTGTCTTTGAGCTATTTTACAACTCTAAACTGTAGAACAATAATACAAATAATATTAGTCCATAGAATGCAAATTGGTGTGTTCAGAGGAAGGCAACTGATATTGATCCATTTTTCACCTATTTGTAAATTAATGTCAGTGTCTATCTGCCTATCTCCTTTGAACTGATACCATCATATTGATAACATCACCTCTCATTACTTAACAAGCAAAATAAAATTGTCTCTTATGTATGACCTGGTCGGTGTGACTCAATGGCTGAGCATCAACCTATGGACCAGAAGGTCACGGTTCGATTCCTGGTTGGGGCACGTGCCTGGGTTGTGGGCTCAATCCCCAATGTGGGACGTGCAGGAGGCAGCCAATCAATGATTCTCTCTCATCATTGATGTTTCTCTGTCTCTCTCCCTCTCCCTTCCTCTCTGAAATTAATTAAAAAAATAATTTATGTATGTATGTTTTATGAGGTTAAGCATTGTTTAAAGTTCTACCCTAAAAAACTGTGGTGAGTCTTTGATGAATATTATATGAGATTTACAAAATAATCCGGGAGGCCGGACAGAAACACGGTTTATTTTCTGTGTCTACTGATTTATCCAGTAAAGTTTTGTAATTTTCTTTCTTTCTTTTTTTTTTTTTTTGTGCCCTTGACTGGAATTGAACCTGGGACCCTTCAGTCTGCAGGCTGACACTCTATCCATTGAGCCAAACCAGTTAGGGCTGTAATTTTCTTGATATGAGTCACACAGGCTTCTTGTTAGGGTTACTTCAAATACATTTTTGTTTGTTAAAATTATAAAAATTGTTTTTTCTACTAACATTTGTGATTGGTCATTATTAGCATCATGAAATTTCATTTGATATCTATAAACAACTTTGTTCTTATAAAATTAAAATTTACCCAAAAATTACCTTGGATTTTCTAGTAGACAAATGGTTTGCAGATAATAAAGGTTTCCCCCCTTCTTTTCTAACAGTTGTGTATCTTATCTTATTTCTGTTTTATATAAGTAATAACTTTGATGACTGAACTTCCATAACAATGTAAATTATTAATGTTGCTAAAGGAAAACATTTTGATTTTAATGAGAATGCCTCTAATGTTTCAAAGTTATATGGTTTTTCTTATTTGATATGATGCATTTATTGATTTTCTAACATTAAAAATGAGGTAAGCCCTGATGTTGATGAATTATTCTTTTACTACACATATTGAATTAGATTTTTTGTTGTGTGTTTTTTCCATTAGTACCCTCTCATCTATGATCATAAGTGGTCCATCTATAATAGTGTTTCTTACCCTTGGAACAACTGACATTTTGGTCTGGTAATTCTTTCTTGTGAATGGTTGTCTTGTTCTCTATAGAACATTTACAGCATCCCTGACCTATACCCACTAGATGTCAGTAGGAACTCCTCCCTCACCAAGTTGTGACAACTAAAAATGCCTCCAGGCATTGCCACAGGTCCACTGGAACACTAATATATAGTTTTCTTTTTGTTTATATGCTGCCTTTGTCAAATTGTGATATTAGGATCATGCCAGTCTCATTACACCTATCAGAGGGCTTTCCATCTCTTCCTGTATTTGGGAGTGAATAATTTATACAGCATTGAATTAGCTATCACTTAAAATCTGAAATAATTTATTGATAAAAATCATCTGGCTCTAAATTTATTTAGAGGGAAAGTAATTGATAATGCTTTTAACTCTTTCCTTGCTCACTGAGGCTTCATGAGTAAGTTTTAGTAAATTTATGTTTTTCTTAGAACATAAATTTAAGATTTCTAAATGATTTAGCATATAACTTCATCATAGCATCCTTGATTTAAAAAGAAATCTGCTTTGAATCTCTTAATTATCTGCTTCCTGAGTTCTAGTTTTATTCATTTGTGTTTTCTTCTTTCTGGAATAGTTTTAGCATGTCTTTGTTGGCTCTGTAGCAATAATATTGTCAATCTATATATATAAAAGCCTAAGCAACTGTTACGATGGGACGACCAGCCAGTAGCTATGATGCGCACTGACCACCAGGGGGAAGATGCTCAATGCAGGAGCTGCCCCCTGGTGGTCAGTACGCTCCCACAGCCAACCTCCCGCGGTCCCTCCCAACAGCCGGCCCCAATTGGGACTGGGCGAGATGGCCCCGATCAGCCAGGAGGGACCCGACTGTGCACTAATTCATGCACTGGGACTCTAGTAATATTAATAATGCCCTTGTCATTCAAATATTATTCATTAATGAATGATACAATTTGGAATATTACATTTACATAGGACACCTTTAAATGGTATTAAACATTCAAAGAGATCAATACACTATCAGATACCATACATTAGTGTATCTTTCCGTAGAGAAGCTAAAGCAGTTGAAGATAGCTAACTGGCACAGGTCACTTTGTTAGTAATTAAACTGCAGGACTTTAAGAGTTATAACATGCATAGCCATGATAACATTTTGATATAGAGCCCAGGGAGGTTTCACCTGCAAAAAAATTCAAAACCATAGATGGACTTTGTCACTTGCAAAGAGCTTGTGACAATAGTCTTGGTGGCCAAGTAATTGCATGGATAACAAGGGCATGTATTGGGCTGTATTTTGTGTCCACCAAGCAAAGTGAGCAGCTGGGAGGAAGAACTAACATTTATTTCCATTTAATGGGAGGATAAGTGGAGCTTATAGAATATAATGAGTTTTCACTAGTGGATTCAGGACTAGGTCCTAGAATGTCCAGTCTCCTTCAACATCTGGGGAACTCACATCCACCTCTCTGGAGCCTAGCCTCCCACTCATGGTGGAGAGAACCACTGGGCTCTGTCCTAGAGGTTGGCCTTTGGCCCCATACCAGGCATCATGACTTGATGGTTGTTGGACCAAGGCTCCCTTTATATAAGTGACTGTGCTGGGATTCCCCTTGGGAGAATCTTGTAACATGGATCAGGAGAACAAAGGGATTGATTATACATTAACCACATCAGTTTTGATCTGGAGGTAAAACTGTATCAAGAGTCAAAGACCTCACAGTTCCTTTTTGGGGTTATGGTGCATTCTTATTTGCACCACCAACATTCAAAAGCCTTTGTCTTGGCTTTCCTCTTTGCCATTTACCTCCTACACCAGTGGTCTCATCTAATTCTCCTTCTCCTTCTCTTATTAGGCACCTTTCTTAGAAATTCCTCCTAAGCCCTTCTTACCCTTCACTTGGCTAAAATCCTGCATCATTATTTACTTGTCTATTTTCTATTGAGTCCAAATGGGCCCTGTGGTCTAGTATGAATTCAGGAGACATCTGGCTGGCAGTGGAAACATGTAAGAATGTGAGGAGATAGTCTCAAGGCCTGATTAGTAACTATCCATAGGTTCTAGTCATGTATAATTTTGCATTTTGTTGTAAATGTTAATAAGCAGCCCTGTGTGGTGGGTACTTGTTTGTGTATACACACCCTGCCTTCTTCCAGAAAATATCTCAGACTTACAATGGCTATATAAGCAAAGTTGTGATCTCATTTCCTCTTTCTCCAAGCTCCTAACATCATATCTTACACTTGAGTTTCACATTGCAGGCAACAAAACACTTTTACAGCATTGTCTCATTTATGTTCACAATGAACTTGCGAGGGCAGTAGGCTTGGAGATGGTAAGTGATGGATGTGCCAGGACTTGAACCCGTATCCTTTGATTCCAAGGATAGGGTTCTTTCCCTGTTTCATCCTGCCTTTTGATCTGTGGTGCAAAGAGTTAATTTCCAGAAAGTGTTTGAATAATTCAGAGAATTGCTGCTGTGTGTGTCTTAAACAAAGAATTATTATACTGGCTTCCTGCAGCATTAGAGGGAACCCAAGCCGAAGCCGTGGCCTACAATGAGTGACACAGTCCCTTATTCTGCTAGCTTTGCAGCTGTTGTTAACCAAAAAAAATTTTTTGGTGGGAAGGGTAGGGCTGAGTGTTACGCCATAAACCACTTCTCTCTGTGGAAAGGAACTTCCTTCACTTACTGTCCAGTATCGGGGCGCTTCTGTCATTGGTGACGGTCTTCTTAAGTTTCTTCCCTTTGCTGATGTCGGAGAGCAGAGCATTCCTCCCAGCCAGCTCTGACCTATTCAAGGCAGGCTTTTCTGTATTGGCCTGAAAGGAAACCATGCAAACTCGTATTCATCTCTTGAATTAAAATCAAGTGCTACAACCCTCAGTGGAGACAGCTAGCGTGTTGGGAGCTTGGGATTGAGGCTGCTGGCAATAGGTTGTAAATTCTCCACAAGTTTTAGACCCGGTGTCATTCTTTTTATGATCCAGACATTTGGGAGCAGATGCAGAAATCAATTACATTTATTTTTAATGCAGGTAGAGTCAGTTCCCGATAGAAGTCTCTGAAAATTCAGTCCATTGTCTGGCTGTGACCGGCAATGCCCGGGATGATGGCTAGAAATGAGAAGGGAACTTGAATCTGGAAGATTCTACAGGATGCCACAAGGCTTCATTCTCTAGAATGTGTCTGAAGAAGAGCTTCTCTTTTGTATCTTTTGGAACTAACTGGTACAAGGAGAAAACTGCTCCTAGCAGAACAGGTCACTTGTATTATTTTTTAATCCACCAAAGTTTGAGAAAAACAATTCCTTCTGTTTACATTGCCAAAGTTTTCCCCCCCCTTCTTTTTAAGAGAGACTTGAGGTATAATTTGCATATAGTAACAGCACCCTTTAAATGTAGAGTCCTGTGAGTTTTGACAAACATATACAATCACCTTGCTTGTAGCCACCACCACAAGCAAAGTGTGTAACATTTCCATTAACTCAAAACTCCCTCATGTCCCTTTGGCCTAAGGTGTATCTTTGAAAACTTAGTTCACAGAGACTGCAGAGCTGACAAAAGTGCTGCTTTAAAATATTTGAGTATTTCCTGTTCTTTCAGAATTCCTGGGAGAGATCCTTACTATGAAGTTGGGCTCTTGTTTATCCAGGATTATTGTAGGGAGTGGGGACTCTAAGAGCCCAGCATATGAACTTGGAAGTTGGCATGTGCCTGTGTCTGTCACACTTGGAAACTGGTTTGGTCTGGCCTGGTCCTAGGGAGAGGCCATCTGGCAGACCCGGGAGTCCCTCTCGGCTGGCCTAGCCCTTCAGGAAGGATCTGATCTTGGAGGTGCCAGTGAGGGCCATGGCAGGTAGACCTGGGAAGTTTAGCTTAATGCTAAACCATTGGTACCTAGTTATTTATTACAGAGGCGGTCAGAGGCCGAGGGGGAGCTAAGAAAAACCCTCAAGTTGGCTACATAGAATCTCTGTTGTGTTAAGCTGCAAGGGTCTTGACATTGTTCATGACAGCTCTGACTATGGGTCAGGCACTGTTTCAGCACTTCATGTGTATTAATTCATTTAGTCCTCAGAAAGGGGAGTCAGTAGGTCCACTTTAGAGACAAGGACACTTGGCGCAGGCGGGTTAGATCATTCGCTCGGGTCACCCAGCTGGTAAGAGCAGGAGCCAGGATCAAACCCTGGCAGTCTGGCTGCAGAGCCTTCCCTAGAATCTGTTGGAAGGATAAATGTGGGTCTAAAATGTCCCTTCCCCGAATTGGGGAGCTGCTGTTGAAGGGCACAGACTTGCATCTGGAAGATGAAGTTCTGGAGATCTAATGCCCAGGACAGTAATTTCAGTCAACAATGCTGCATTATAATCAGGCTAACAGGCAAGATCTTAAATGTTCTCACCACAAAGAAGAAAAGATAATTACGTGATGTGATGGAAGTGTTAGCTAAAGCAACAGAGCTAATTATAATATATAAATGTGTCAAACCAACATGTACGGCATAAGCTTATACAACATGATGTGTCAAATATATATCAATTGAAAAAAATTAATGAAGTTTCCCAAATTTCAGTCATTCTGGTACAGCCTTCATGATTTTGGCCATCTTCTCATGCTGCCTGCCATTTATTTTATGTTTCTATTAAGTCTATTCAATATAAAATTTACTACTTTTCAGTGAGCATTTTATTTTAAAGTAACTCCCTATTAAACTCTGGGTATTCTAGTTATAATTTTTAGAGCACATATTAAGATAAACACATGAACATTGAAATAAAACAAAAATTAAAGTATGTACTACCCAGCAGTGGTATACAACCTACATTTTTTGGGGAAATATAAACTAATCCTGTGATATTAGATCAGAGCTTTTCAAACTTATCTAAATAAAAGACCAATTTTTAAGAAAAAACTTCCAATCTATTATGGACTGATATTTTTGTAAAATAACGGTAACTTAGTAAAAAAAAAGGCACAAAAATGCAATCTTAATAACAACAGGCAGTTCAGCCGGTGTGGCTCAGGGGTTGAGCATCAATCCACACACCAAGAGTTCGCCAGTTCAATTCCCAGTCAGGGCACATGCCCCGGTGGTGGGCTCAATCCCCAGGAGGGAGCCCATTGATGTTTCTCTTTCAGCGATGTTTCTATCTTTCTCTCCTTCTCCCTTTCTCTCTCTCTCAAATCAATACAAACATATTTAAAACAACAACAACAGGCAAAACACCATCAAGTTGCTGTGTTTCTATATGCTTACTCTCAATTTCTGTGCTTATCTCCTTGGGGGCTCTAACTAGCAGTTGGAGGACCACAGCTCAAATAGCAACGAGCTAATTAATGGTCTGTTCTTCCAACCAGGCTCCAACCTTAGATGGTCTATAGCAGCGGTTCTCAACCTGTGGGTCGCAACCCCTTTGGGGTCGAACGACCCTTTCACTGGGATCGCCTAAGACCATCAGAAAACACATATATAATTACATATTGTTTTTGTGATTAATCACTATGCTTTAATTATGTTCAATTTGTAACAATGAAATTAGGGGTTACCATAACATGAGGAACTGTATTAAAGGGTCGTGGCATTAGGAAGGTTGAGAACCACTGGTCTATAGAAATGTGCCCATAGAAGCCTGGGCAAAGGACTTTTCCTTTTTGAGCCTCAGTTTTCCCCACATGAAAAATGAAGGGCCCGTCCTTGGGAGCATTTAAGCAATGCAGGCTTCCCAAGCTGGTGGAGGCCTTTGTGATGGCATGGCTGGGAGCCCCTGTATCGCCCCGGGAAAGGCTGTGGGGCTTCCTGGAAGAGGGGGCACTAACTTGTGAGGATGGGTCTATCAAGGATCAGGATGAGCCCAGGGAAGAAATTCCTTTGTATTTAGATGTCTAAATGCAAGAATAGATTTAAAGAGGGGTGTGGGTGTATGAGGTCTTGGGGTAATGGTGGGAGTGGGGGATAGTTGTCAAAAACACAGAGTGGGCAAATGGCAGAGAAAAAGAAAAGAGTGGGTCTGGAGGACACTGGAATGGATGCGTTTTCAGATAGAGACCTGGGTTTCTGGACTGTCCTGCCCAGAAGTTGGGCCCATTTGAATGGAAACAGGGCAGAACTGCCCTTGCAAACCTGTCTTGGGTCAGTGCATGGGAATGAATGAACAGGACACTTCTCTCACTGGACATGACAGAGGACACCCAACTGCCCCACGGCCCACACGTGCACTGTGCACGGCAGGAGACATCAGACAACCAACCCTGGTTCTGGCTCACGCCAGCACCTGGAAAGCTCCCCATATCATATTTAAGCCAGAATGCAAAAACAATGAAAACAAACACATGGGTGCCAGAGTCAGCTTCATTCGGCGGCTTCATGCATGAATCATGGAGGGCGAGGAACCACTCACCACAGCAAACGTGGGCGGCGGCGGGGGCGCTGGAGGGGGAGGGACGGGCATCTTGGACAGCTAAGTTTTCAACAGTCTTGCTGATAAGTCTGTAAAAACAAAACACAGTCCTGTATTAGACTTCTTAGTAATACTCTGTCCTACTCTTCCCTCTTCTCCACCAAAGTGCCCGCTATTCACACAGGCCAGCTTTCATAAGAGGTGGGATTACCTTTGCCATGTTGCTAAGCTGTGACTGTTCTGGAAGGAGCCTACAGGGAGGTTTCTCAGCCTAAGTGCCTGAAGAGACTGGAAGCAAAATCCAGCACCTTGTGCTGCTCAATTCCACCACCCACCCAAGCAGATGGGGGAATGGCCCGTGCGGGGCCCCTGGGCCTGTGGCCTGGGTAGCTGGAAGGTGATGATATCGCTGGAAATGTGTCCCGACAAAGTCTCATGAACAAGTGGCTTCTCTTCCTTACTCATTTCCATGACAAAATCCTTTCTTTCTCTCTCTTTCCTTCTTTCTTTCTCCCTCTCTCCCTCTCTCTCTTTCTTTCTTTCTTTCTTTCTTTCTTTCTTTCTTTCTTTCTTTCTTTCTTTCTTTCTTTCTTTCTTTCTTCTTTCTTTCTTTTGGTATAAATATAATTTCTTTTTTTAAATTTAAATTCTTTATGGTTTAAAGTATTACATAAGTCTCCTTTTTCCCCTACTGACCTCTCCCTGGCCACCCCCACCCCCCAGCACATGCCCTCACTCTCCCTCCCCCTGTCTGTGTCCATTGGTTATGCTCATATGCATACATACAAGTCCTTTGGTTGATCTCTTCCTCCCTCACCCTCCGCCTTCCCTCATAGGTTGGACAGTCTGTTTGATGCTTCTATGGCTCTGGTTCTGTTTTTGTTCATCAGTTTATGTTATTCATTATATCCCACAAATGAGTGAGATCATGTGATATTAATCTTTCTCTGACTGGCTTATTTCGCTTAGCATAATGCTCTCCAGTTCCATCCATGCTGTTGCAAATGATAAGAATTCCTTCTTTTTTACAGCAGCATGGTATTCCATTGTGTAGTTTTCTAATCCACTCATCTGCTGATGGGCACTTAGGCTGTTTCCAAATCTTAGCTATTGTAAATTGTGCTGCTATGAACATAGGGGTGCTTATATCCTTTCTGATTGGTGTTTCTGTTTTCTTGGGATATATTCCTAGAAGTGGGATTACTGGGTTAAGTGGAAGTTCCATTTTTAATTTTTGAGGAATCTCCATACTGTTTTCCACAGTGGCTGCACCAGTCTGCATTCCCACCAGCAGTGCAAGAGGGTTACTTTTTCTCCGCATCCTCTCCAGCACTTGTTGTTTGTTTAGGATAGCCATTCTGACAGGTGTGAGATGGTACCTCATTGTTGTTTTGATTTGCATCTCTCGGATGATTAGTGACTTTGAACATGTTTTCATATGTCTCTTGGCCTTCTGTATGTCTTCTTTTGAAAGATGTCTATTTAGGTCCTTTGCCCATACAAAATCCTTTCTTGCGCTCCCTCTTCCCCTCAGTCCTACACCTGCTGTGTTCTTTTCTGTGCAGATTCCTGACATTCACCTGGGTCTGAGTACACACTGTAGGAATGCAAAGATGAATCTGTTTCTGCTCTTGCCCTCATCGTTCTTAGTCTTCTTGGGAAAGAAGACAGTGGTAAGGTAAGGTAGGCAGGTAAGATGATGGATGAGGAGGCCCCATTTCTATCTTTATATGCCTTGCCATTTCCCTGTAGGATCTAAGTGGAAAAAAAGAGGGGGAAAAGGCTAGGGGCTTGCCTGGCTGATGTGGCTCAGTGGTTGAGTGTTGACTTATGAGCCAGGAGACCATAGTTCAATTCCCAGTCAGAGTACTTGCCCAGGTTGTGGGCTCGATCCCCAGTAGGAGGCAGTCGATCAATGATTCTCATCATTGATGTTTCTATCCCTCTCTCCCTCTCCCTTCCTCTCTCTGAAATAAAAAAATATGTATATTAAAAAAACAACAACAATAGGGGCTTAAACCTATGATCCCCGGGCTGTTTACTAGAAATGGGCTACATTGGAAAAGCTTTGTGCATAGTGTGATTGCCCTGGGGACAAAGGCAGGCCAGGTTCTGCGACTGAGCGGGAGAGTTTAGGGAAACCCTGGTGGGTAGCAGTGGTGAAGGGGGCAGCAGGCAGACATGGGGGACTGGAGAAACAGCAGTGAGGAAACCCTATGACAGGGGTGGGCAACCCCTGGCAAGCGTGCCAAACATGGCACGCCAGTAACTTTTGCTGGCACGTGAAACCCTCTCTTATAATCTTCCATTTACAATTATTTTCTTAATATCAACTTTTTTATTTTTCATATAAATTCAGTGTAGGTGCATCTTAGATAAATAAATAATTTTACATAACAAGTTATCTTAAAAACCATAGACATGGATTGACGAGAGAGGGGAAGAGCAATTTCTATGCCTCTGCCTTAACTCTCCCTGCCTTCCTAGATCCGACCAGTGTTTTGGTTTCATCCACATATGCTTGTGAATCTTTGTTCTCAGTGATGAATTTTGTTAAGTCTTGTGATAGGAGTAGCCTGACGGATGAAAGCAGTAGCTCGTGCATATCTCTGAAGGTCACGAAATATAAACCTGATATAAAATCTCTGTCATCAGTGATGCAGCAGCAAAAGTCCCACTGATAATATCAAACGGAGTCATAAAGTTTTCTGTCGGACTATCAGTGTACATGTATACATTTAAAAAAATGTCTTTTTCATCATCATATACTGTGTTTTTGTCACTCGAATGAATTTTATTATTTCTTCAAGTTCTTCACATACGTACACCTCAAGAGATATCAAGTAGGTGTAACATGTTCTCGAAAAATTAGGATTGGCACGCAGAAGAATTTTGAGTCAGAGATTTTGCTGGTTTTGGCACGCACTCACAAAAAGGTTGCCCACCCCTGCCCTAGGAGTTACACAAGCCACAATCCCGTCTCCCTTTCTCTTCATCCTCAGAGTCCCATCCCTGGGTCTCATCCCACCAGGTCCCAGCCCCAGTGGCACCTCACCCACTTTCTCACCCTAAGCAATTCCAACTTTTCCCACCCAGTCCTTGCAGCTGCTCTAAGTGGGGACCCCAACCAGCACCGTGGGCCTCACCCAGAGCTGTTAGAATCATCAAGTCTCTGCCCCTCTCCCCGCAGCTGAATCTGCGTCAGCATTTGAGAAGCCTGTTTGCAGAGTTTGGGCTTTAAACCAGTGGGCAGCCTGGCACCCTGACCACCGGAGCTAACACTGTTTCTATGGAACATGCATCCCCAGTTTCCAACAGCAGAAGTATCTTTCTTCCATTCTCAATAGTCTCTTAATTGCATAACACAATTTCTTAGAATTTAAATTGAGTTCAACTGCTAAATATTAATGTGGAAAACACACCTCGAAAAAACACATTCTATGAAAGTGGTGACTTTTCAACTGGTGTGTCGCAAGAACGTCAAAACTCACAACGCCTGACTATCTAGTCAGGGGCACTGACCTCCTTTCCCTTCGATTGACAAATAAAAAATGACAACAGCCAACACAATAGCTATCCGGTGTGAACAAATCAAAATTATACCTATTTTTTTGTTAGATCGGCAAAGAATAGAATATATTTTTGGCGTGCCACAGAATTTTAGTAATTGGTGTATGTGTACCAGGAGGAAAAAAGGTTGAAAGTCGCCATATTAAAGTATTGCTGGGTGGCTTGCTTTCTGTGCACAGAAATGGGAGGAAAAGCTAAAAGGACGTGGCCGGACTTGTCAAAGTTGCGGGGAGGCAGGAATGAGGACAGGCAGGTAGTTCTGTTCCAAGCGGGCCCTCTAGAGAAGGAAATGAAAAACTCCACAGCAGCCAGAGCAGCGCTCATAACCGACAGTCAGTTGGACCCAGGGCTCGTCATCGTCTCTAACTTTTACAGACATCGCAAACTAGCACAATTCTGCTATTTTTACAGAGGACACTGAGATGTAGAGAAATTAAGCAACTCACTAAAAGACCCACACAATCCGTTCAAATCAAGTCCTTCCAACCCTGCTCTTCTTAGATAAGCATTTGTAAGCAGGTAAAGGGCTAGCTAACTAGTGCTACGGCTCACATGTAAACTAGGTCAGAATCTGTTTTTCAATAAGAGACTCAGACAAGGATTCTTTTAACATGTGTTCCTTAGATTGGTTTTCGGCATGACACCAACTAGGTACCCCGGGCAGGGGGGGGCGCGGGGGGGGGAGGCTAATTGGGCTGTGTACTCGGACTGGTGCCTGTGTTAAGTCTGTAAAAGGGGTTCCTGGCTGCAGAAGGCACCTTTGGAGGCTGCAGAGTCAGACACGTCCTAGGACCAGGAGGAAGGACAGGAACCTGACGTTGGATTCAGGTCCAGCCGACTGTGAGAGATGCTGCAGCCAAAGCAGTGGTATCACAGCTGGAGAAAGCGGCTCAGTAAGGAGGCGGTGGGGACGGGACCACCCAGAGGCCCGAGAGGCGGGCTCTGTGGAGCAGAGATGGGCTTGGTGGATGAAATGCCCCTTAGCACGTGAATTTATTGTGTTGGATCCCATGTTCACCAACTAACCTATTTTATAACTTTCTGTTGTTGCAATTATGGTTCTGACTGTGCACTGACTAACTTACAAATAAGCCCCTGGACCACCGACGTTCAGCCTTCCCCGCCTGGCCACCTTGGATACAAGGGAGAGGGAGGACCTGCGGGTGACACCCTCACCTTTCCGAGGGGATGCAGACACAAGTACACTGAACAACATGAGGGGCTAGGGGTACTGGCCCCGCACAGCTGACCCCATACATAACTTTTGACTCCCCCCAAACTGAACTGCTAATAGCCTATTGTTGGCTGGAAACTTTACTGATAATAGTCAATTAACACATATATGTTACTAGAGGCCCAGTGCACAAAATTCATGCATGGGTAGGGTCCCTAGGCCTGGCCAGTGATCAGGGCCAATCTGTGGGGTGACCAGCAGGACAATCGGGGGTGGAGGGGGGGCTCTGACACCCACCTTGGCTGGCCTGGAGGCAGCTCCTGCATTGAATGTCTGCCCCCTGGT